CATTATATTAGATTGTTGTCCATCGAGAAAGAAAGAGAGAAAGAGAGACAGAGAGAGAGAGAGAGAGAGAGAGAGAGAGAGAGAGAGAGAGAGAGAGAGAGAGAGAGAGAGAGAGAGAAGGAGGGGAAGGGAGGAATGAAAATAAATAAGGACAGAAACGAGGTCATTCATACAATAATTATTGTCCAAATAGTACACGTATAATACGCCTACACTCCCAATATCTTTTAGTCCATTGAAATCAATCGAAGCAGAAAGGACTTTCAGCTTGCCTTAGAGAACAAGTGGCTATACTCATGCCCCTTAGAACGACCGTCTTTGCTGGCGAATACTGATCTGATTTAAGCCTAAGTGATTTACAGTATCTTAGAATAATATCTGACACATAAATAAGAAGTAAACACGCTGGATTATCGGAATTACTACTCCCCATTTAAGAAAATATGTTTTTGTGTCGCGTATAAGTGTATAAAAAAAACACTTGAGAACAAAAAGGTTCTTTGTCTGAATTCATAGACGTTATTTTCTATTTATAACCTCTTTGGTCTGAAATAATATGCAGGTATCCATGTTAAACAGAAGTTGTAACAACAGCGCTCTATCTATCTATCTATCTATCTATCTATCTATCTATCTATCTATCTATCTATCTATTATATAGATGTTTGTATGTGTGTGTGTGTGTGTGTGTGTGTGTGTGTGTGTATGTGTGTGAGTGTGTCTGTGCGTGCGTGCGTGTGTATGCAACCTTGTTTAGTTTGATAACAATAGTTCAACCTTCCTAAGCTGGTAGTGACCTTTGACATCCAAGGAAAAAGAGAAGTTGTAGATATTACAAGCTACCGCAGCACCTGGCAGTAGTGTTGTAAACTTGTTTATACGATTACAACTATTACAAAGAACAAGGTATAGGTTCAGGGAAAGCATCAGAAATGTCGACATGTTTTGGATTTAACTCTCCTTTTAAGCCATACACTTTTTAGAGATTCAAAATTGGTGCCCAGCGTCCATATTCCAATATGGCTGTTTTCAACTTTCAGCAGGTGGGATTAGAAAGCGACGTCAGAACGGATACGAGGAATATTAATAAATATTTCTTGTGCGAATGTATCATGGAATAATTGGAACCGCCGCTGATGTCTTAGTTATATAACAGAGCATTAAAATGACACAACACAACACAAAATGACAGGACGTGACACCGAATATCACAGAATAAAACCAAAATGACACGAAATGACACCCTTGGATATGATATGACACAAAATGGTACGGAATTACACGACATGACATAATACGACACCAAATTGTGACACAGAATGCTATCAAATGACACATATCGTAACATGATAGTATGATACCATAAGACACAAAAATGGCGTAAAACAACATGAAATGCAATCTTCATGCCTCTTGCGTCCTTCTGACAAGTCTGGTCAAAACAACAAAAAGGCTGACCACAAATAAATCAGAACAAGAACGTATCGTCGGTGTCACAGGCAACCCACTTAAGTCCCTAGTTTTTGTTGTGTTGTTCCTACCACGAATCATGAAAAACAAGAACATTGTTAACCTGGGTCATAGCATTAAATTGTAATTAGGTGATATAATTGAAACGTACATCTTTGATAGAGCTTTGGGAGGGTGATAAAATAAAAAATTCTCAGAACTTACGCGGATTGCCTGCTACAAGGAAGATAACAATATTATTATTAATAATATTATAGCCGGAACACCTAAACTGTTGGAAATGACAGTGTTGCTAAGGTTTTCCTGGTAATCGAAAACAAACTGGATTCAAAGTTCTTTCGACAAAGCAATATTCAGCTTTAGTAAGAATTTTACGGCACTTACAACACAATTAGGTCATATAGGGGCCCAAAATTTAAAAAAAGTGTAACGAGAGATGAAAAAAACAAAAATAGAAGGAGGACAGATGAGGACAATAGATGTTCAATAGGAAAGAAGGAGCAAACCATACCAGAACACCCTCCAAACACCGGCATACCACAACAGCAACAACAACAACAACAACAACAACAACAACAACAGCAACAACAGCAACAACGACAACAACAACAACAACAACATCAATAGACAAGGGTCAAAACAGAACCACTGCACTAACCTAGCCAAGGAAAACGCCCCGCAAAGCTTCAGCAGAGCCCAGATCACCTGCTCAATCCGAACCTTTTTGTGACTGAACCAGCGCGCGGAAAGCGCGTCCCCTCGTCTGCTAGGGCCTGATGAGCAGCCGATAACTGGAAGTTCTTTCGGCAGACGATTAAAGAAAAAAATATGAAAGAAAGAAAGAAAGAAAGCAGAAAGAAAGGGTAGGCAGTCTGTCAGGCAAGCAGGCAGGCAGGCAGTCATGCGGTGTGGCGGGGAGGGCGCTTGAGAGGGTTGGTGGAAGGCTCGCTCCGTGGTTGTATTGCGTGTGTCTTGTGGTCGGTGACAACATTGCTGACGGGGCAGTCTTACTTGACTACCCGTGTTGGAAGGAGGTATATAGAGAGAGAGGGAAGGAGGAGGAGAGGTGGGGAGGGATAGAGAGAGGGAGGGAGAAGGAGAGGTGGGGAGGGATAGAGAGAGGGGAGGAGAAGGAGAGTTGGGGGAGGGATATAGAGGGATGGAAAGAAAGAGAGACATCGTGAAAGAGGGAGGGGAGGTAATGAGGGGGAGGAGGAAGAGAGAGAAGGCGAAAGAAGAAAGGCACTCATATTATATTCAGACTCAATTTTACACAAACATGAACACACACACACACACACACGCGCGCGCCCAAAAACAGGCGAAGAGAGAA